TGGTTGTGATAAGTAATCGGGAAAAGTAATTTATGGGGAATATTAATCATCGATACAATTGGTTTTATTTATGAAAAAGAGCGTGATATGAGGTTCAACTAGTTAACAATCACGAGCGATTTATAAGATGATTAAGACATTTCAGCCCATATAATAGTGGAACAACAAATACAATCGCACGCAACAACATTCCAAGGTAATGTTATTAGCTTTGTTATTAATTTCGATTATTGTTATTAATTTGCTATTATTTTTGTGATTATAGCTATTACTTTGTTGGTTTTATTATGTTTTATTATGACCAAATTCCATCGTTATTAGGATTTTTTGGAATTCTTATCATTTTAACATCAGTACTATTAATTGATCGGTTCTTCACTTGCATCTGTCGTATGTTTATTCTCGTCATTATCAGTCATTTCATTATATTTATCATTCATTTCAATATCCAAACAGCTACTGCTGACTGATATAGCGTATAATTGTGGATACGAACTCATCTCAGTCTTATATTCGCCTTTAGAAGTTCTCATACATTTTATCGGCCTCAGGCTACATAATTCGCGCGATATATTTTCAGGAGTTGAAGGGTAATTAGTGTAGAATCTGTTACATCACTATGGTCTCTGTTCTTCTAAATCCATTCGCATATAGTACCATCATCATGAATATATCCCTCAAAAAAGAATAAACGTTGCTAATGGTAACAACTGAGGTGTCGAGTAGGCATTATAGGAGAACAGTGAATGTGCCATTAAGATGGATTCAATTACAATGGCGTAGTCACGCATATTCCGCAGATATTAACTTGTTCTGATGAGATCTGTTGAAAAATCTTTTATGAAACCGGAAAATTTAAATTTGATGCAAGTCTCTCAGAACTTAGTGAAGAATATAGTCGAAAGATATATTGGATGGTAGGTTGAGCGAGCGATTGGTATTCGAAAAGATGAATGAATATTACACTTTTACTTATATGAAATTGATTTGATACAGTTGTTTCTGAGTGATCTTGAATGCATCATTGAATTGGAACATATTTTAGTAGATAATCTACGAAGAGACATCTTACAAAACATGGAAATACCTGGGGGAAATATATTTACATCATTGAACTCGAAAAAAAAGAACGATCAGTTCATCAGATCAATAAAAGCAAACAGTCATAGAACACAAGCAGTCTACGGAATGCAACAGTGCACTCATAAATAATGAAATTAGCAATTCATTGCTCGAAACATAGAGCAATCCCAATTATAACATGCAATTAATTCATACAATAATCTGACATCTCATTGTCACAATAGAATCATCCATAAAATACAATTAATTAACAAGCAACTTAAACTGAATGTTGCAATCTGTGAATCGCCAGGCATATCGCAATCATTTAAGAAGATATGTGGCTTCTGTTTTGCGACGATTTTCGTTTAAGAGGTAGTGATAACTGGGTTGATAACGATTCATAAAATGCTGATGGTTATGGCTATGATAAGGTCTAATATAGGCCATCAACATTGGGACGGTGCTTATTAGTGTGATTGCTGATGTTATTCTTATTGTTCTGAATCTTTTCAAAGGTTTTGGCATTAATAGATCCGATAGTAGTATAGGTGTATTAATGAAACGGAGAAGTTAAACTTGACGAATCACAACGACTTCCATTTATATCGTAAATGTCGTAGCCGTAGTTCGTTGCTGACAATAACGATGAATTCAGAGGTACTCAAGAAAATAGTAACAATGGTAAAAAGTTCACATCAATGATAATGATAAAAGTAATGATAAGAATGATAACGCATGATCAGCAAAGAAGCAAATTGCTATTTTTGTGCGAATTCAGTGGCTTTCTTGGGCAGTAGGACCGCTTGAATGTTCGGTAGAACACCGCCTTGAGCGATCGTTACACCGGCCAGCAGTTTATTTAACTCCTCATCGTTGCGCACTGCCAACTGCAAATGTCTCGGATTGATGCGGGTCTTCTTGTTGTCACGTGCCGCATTGCCGGCCAGCTCGAGCACTTCGGCCGTTAAATACTCCAAAACCGCAGCCAAATAGACTGGCGCTCCGGCGCCGACTCGTTCCGCATAATTGCCTTTCCGCAGCAGGCGATGAATACGACCAACCGGGAACTGAAGACCGGCACGTGATGAACGGGTTTTGCTCTTGCCAGTAGCCTTCGACTTACCGCCTTTTCCACGACCAGACATTGCGTTAAGTTACTTTTGCGGTTATGGATGTGTTCCGGAACTAGGAAGCGCGAAAAGTCAAGTTTCGTGTTTGGTAGAGCAATCAGGTGATCATCAATACCAGTAATAGTAATGCTGATAGTGCTAGCGAGAATGATACGAACGTGATAAACAGCAGTAACGATTGTAGAAGAGATTAACAAGCGTCTGATGGTGCTGATAACTGAAAAGATAGATAATATTGAGCAAATCAATGATAACCAACGATTTTCAATCAATTTCACGATCTCCAAATTATAGTCGAAATTAACGAGCGAGTTCGTTGATTTATAATATTAGTTTGGATGGCCTCAAATTATTTCTTAGGACTATTTCTTCAACCAACACGATCCAGTAAAAGTTCAGCAAGTAAATACGAGTGCACATAAAACTGCGATGCATGATTTCGAAACTTCTGAAGGATTATTATTCATTTATTAAATTAAGTAACATTCATCCATGAGATCATTTATTTAATGATTCCATCGCAGTGATTGTCGACGTTATGAGGCAACTCTGGTATGCGAAGTAAACAAAAGGATCTGAGGGGATTGGGGAACGTAACGTTGCTGGTGGTCACTTCGGGCGATTTCAGAAAAATGCACAAGTAAGTGCGGTGAGGAAAGAAAGGAAACTGAAACGGTGATATTGGGTATGGTCTAATCATGAGTGATTTATTATTGGAAATGCCAAAGGGTTGATTGCAGAAGCATTGAAGCCCATGCGATCAACACACATGATGATATGATGTTTTATCTGTGTATGCTCGGTGTTAGCTGAGTATATATGGCTAGTTCTAAGCATGATGCTTTCCTTGTATGTGCTGCTGTACCTCTTCTGGTGCTCATGCTTACTTATGCAAATAGATCCACCACCACGATGTCTATGTATGCGACCATGTTCATGCTTCATCTATCCGCAAGCGATGAAGCATTTGAAGGCGTGGTTCAAAGCTAACATAAGCTCGCTCTGAGCCGCATATAAAAGTGTTTCGTGTTCTGGTGCCATCCTATTTTCGTTGCTAGTCGAGATTACTCGAGACTCAACCAAACGGTCGGCAAAAGCAAGAGTGCGTTTCAATAACACCAACTATATCCCGTTCGTATTCATCATTGCTTCACACTAACTACCAGTAGTTGCGCCATACTCTTGTGCTATTGTGTTGCTGAAGTGGAAAAGGACTTGCTTACCTTTGAAAGCAGTTTAAGAATTTGCTTTGTTGAAATCTTCTGATATTACTTCAATTTTCATCATAACACATCATCAGTAGTGTGACATCAAGGTGTTTACTTCTGAGTAAATTCATCTGTATTTGTACTATCTATTGACTTCTACCTACACACTCTCGCAGCTTGTTCTGCCCAAATATTGTTCTAAAAAAGACGATTAATCATTAAAAAAGTTATACGTAATCAGTGCTGAGAACACCGTTTGTGGCGTTGAAATTGTTACAATTGCTGTTGATCGGGTATATTCCTGTTGGTAATACAAGTGGAGTTACTGTTCTGTTCCTATTATTCTCACTGTAATCTCTACTGCCTCTTACTGTTAACAGTACTGTTAACTTATCGCTTATCACTGCGAC